CAAAGAATGGTAAAAGGTATTGTACCAGTACTCTATCCAGGTCAGCAACTTAAGCCATTATCAAGGATACTCACTAGTGAAGCACTGTGGGTAGGTTTCAAGGGTGTGGTTAATCACCTCCGACTATCCATCAATTTGGAGGTGGTAACTTGTAGAATGCTGCAATTTGGTTCCCTAGGCTTTAAAATAGGCAGACCAAAACCAGCTCATAAATGTTGAATCTCTATTAGTGATAATGGTGTATGGAGTACCATGTAGACAGGAGACTTCTTAAATGAAGATATGGCTGCCTGTGCTGCAGTATTGGGGTGGGCTAAAGGCAGAAAACACACGAACATAGAAAGCTAGTCCATAAGCTCAGAAGTATTTCTTGTGTACGGGCTTGGGGGATTCTTAGGACTTGGGCTTGAGAAGTGCTTTAAGGGACTCAGAAGTGGTCACTACAGATGAACCTTTCTGTCTTTCAAATTCAGTGTCTTTGGATCAATCTTGTCTTGATAGTAGAATTTTGTCTGAATCCTCTTCAGGTTGTTTCTCTAGCTCCTCTTTCTTTAATGCTTATTTTATCAGCAAATAAGACTTTTATTAAGTTCAAAGATCACATTAAGGTACAGGACATAGATATCAGCACTGCAATGACCCCAACTACAAGCAATTACAACACTTCCCAGAACAAAGTAGGTCTATCTGCTCCCTGTTTTGCTCAGGTATCTGCCAACCCATTTGCAGTCCTTTTCACCCAACCAAACTGAGTATTGAGCGTCCTTGCAAGGTCAATTTCCCTAAAGATAAATTTGAGCTTCCAAGGTGCTGAAGTGACCTGTTTTGCCCAAGAAATGACCAATAGTGAATCTCCTTCAATTTCTAAATCTATTGCTCCAATCTGCTCAGCCAGATTTAAGCCTTGTAGGAGTGCCATAGCTTCAGCCTGAATTGAGCCACCAATGCCTATTGGTCCTGAGAATAGAGCCGCAACTCCTCCTTGATGATTTCTGAACACACCCCCTATACCTGTCCTTCCCAGGTTGCCAAAGGAGCTCCCATCAAAGTTTAGCTTTAGTTTATTTAGTGCAGGTGGTTTCCTCTCCACTCTCCCAATTTCTTTTGGTACATCTGTTTGTGCCACTTCAGTTCAGTTCCTGAGAATGTCATTTGTGGAGATGTTCTTGAATAGTTCCATGGTCATCACCCAATGCAAAGCTCTGATTTTTATGGCTTCAATGACTTCCTCCTTTGATTTGTTTTTTTCAAAGAAAATTCTTTGATTTCTTTCCTCTCAAATGGTCCACACCACAGCAGCTCTTGCTGCCTTCCATAAACACTTTCCCCTTTTTTCTGTTGCATCAGGGCTGAAAACTACATCTTGTAGAGGAGCCAATCCACATCCAAAGAGAGAACAAAAATATTCCCAAATACAAAAAACAAAAGAGCAAGATAAGAGCAAGTAAGGTAGGGTTTTACCACAAGCCTTACATAGGACACACACACGAGGAGAAAGGCATTTGTTTGGCCTTCTTTTCTGTAGCACATCACAGGTGTTTACCTTCCCTAGGAACACTTCCCAACAGAAGGCTTGTACATTGGGAGGGATCGGTTTGCACCAGATTTCTCTCACTGGAAAGTTCTACCCCAAAGATTCAAAGTGAGTCAACAAACTGAAGAAAGAGGCACAAGTGAAAATGCAATCAAAGGCTAGGAACCAGATTCTACAGTCAACTGAATTTTGGTCTAAAAGGACCCTCTCCAAGGTTGAGATAAAAACCTTTAGGGAAGCACATTCATTATCTCTCACACCCCTTCTGAAGCCAAAATCCCAAGAAAGACCCAAATCTGAAAGCACACCAACCCGAGAAACAGGTTCCTTCTTAAGGTTTGACAAGGTGTAGTCAGGGAATTTTACACTTGAGGGGCATATCCCCTACCCATAGGTCTTCCCAGAATAACACTTTATTACCACACCCAACAATCAAAACGGATCCTCTTTCTTTAATGCTTTATTGTAGTCAAATAGCCTGCCTATCTTTTTGGTTGTTAAAGAAGTGTGGTGTGCTCCTATATCTCCTAAGATTAGGGCTAATGTTGGGAAGTGGTTCTCCAAAAAATCAACACTTTGGATGTGCTTCAAGAAAAGAGACCAAACTGGTGCTTATCCCAACGTCTGTAGCCTTTGTATGGCTAGTGGAGAGACAGTGAACCATCTATAATCTCTTGTTCTTTTGTTACCCATATTTGGAATTAGAATTCCTCTCTTTTATTGCAGTGGACTCCTCCATCGAGTGTGGTGTACCTCTTCAACTAAAACTTTTTCCCGACAACCAAAGAAAAGTAGTAGGTTGATGTGGAGAACAACGAGAGCAGCTATTGTTTGAACAGTCTGGTAAGAGAGGAATAATAAGATCTTCCAAGGGCGAGGAAAATCAAAAGATGAATTAGTAGAAGAAATAACCATCAAGGTCATACATTGGATGAAAACATTGGATCTATTCAAGGCTCTTTCAATAGATGACTTGATTAGAGAATGAAGTACAGTAGTGGGCTCCTCTTCTTCATCTCCATTCATGAAATCTGGTCCCCTCCTCTACAAAATAGGGTAAAGCTGAATTTTGATGGCAGTTCTGTAGGTAACCCTGGTACCTTGGGAGTTGGGGGTGTTTGTAAAGATGTGGACTGAAGAATACTGGCTTTATTCTCAGCACTAATTGGGGTAGGTGATTCACTTAGGGAAGAAGTAATGGCACTACTACAAGGACTCAGATTGGCTAAACAGTTCGGTTTTTGAACATTTAGAAGTAGAGGGAGATTCAAAGTTGGTAGTAGGCTGGATGTAGACAAATAGCTTAGGCACTTTGTCCCTTAGACAATTTGTAAAGGAAATTCTGAACCTAACAAGGGAGCTTAGAGTAAAGTTTAAATGGGCTAGAAGGTCAGCAAACACCTTGGCTGATGCTTTGGCAAAGAAAGGGGTTACTAGGAAAACTCTATTTGGGCATGTTGGTAAGTCTGATGTGAATTGGGGATCACCTTCTTTGGAAGGTGATAGTAGTGCTAATTATCTTTAAAGTTACTGAAAGTTACCATTTCCTACCAAAAAAAAAAAAAACACACTATCACTATCCTTCCTGAAGATGGTGGAAGACTTGTGATGAAGTCCATCGTGACCTAATCCAAAACCTATCCAGGTAAAGGAATGGGTTGTAACATACCAGCAGGAGTCTAAGTATCAAATTTATAACATTGGCAAACAGAACATTGGACCACATAATTCTACATCTGTTTCTTCATCCCAACCCAATAAAAATGAGAAGCCAATCAATGATATGCATGCAACACACCAGAATGTATCCCAAGAGTAGAGGCATGGAACAACTCCAACAAAGCAGGTATGTGGACTAACTGTTGTGGGATTACCATTTGACCCTTGAACATAAGAATTCCACTACTGATAGAGTAGCCTTGTGGATGGGCGTTTGTGCGGCCATGATCTTGGCCTTAAGCTAAATAAGAGTGTCATCTCGGGCAGCTTCTGCCCTCAACCGAGCTGTGAGAGGGTAAATGGGCCTTGAGGCTGAGTACTGGRCCAATTCATGCTGACATGACAAAGCATCAGCCACTATATTTGATGGGCTGGCCTTGTACTCAACATTATAGTCAAATTCAATCAACTTATCAACCATTTCTGTTGAATTTTGTTGAGAACAAGTTGTTCAGCCAAATATCTAAGATTCTTGTGGTTAGAACAAACGGTGAAATGACAACCCAACAAGTAACCACACCATTCCTTTTCATACGTAGCATATCTTTGAGACYGAGAAGGAAGAGTTTTACTAAAATAGGCCATGGACCTGCCTTCCTGTAACTATTGAAAGGACTGAAACTTTAACCAAACATAGCCAAAACAGTTACAATAGCTGGCCAAAGTTAAAAAAATTCAGCCCAACCAAGAACCAATTTCTCAATAATTTGAAAGTACAAGATAAGTGCAGTAATAAAAAATTCAGCATATAAAGAACCAAAAAAAAAAAAAAAACAGTGCAGCAGATCCCAACCCATCTGTAACCTATTTAGGTTGATAGGAATTCTTGTAGAATTCAAAATTGGGTCTTTATTCCCTCTGTTTGTATGTGTTTTTTTCCACTTAAACCAAGGAGGCAAGGTCACTCAAAAATCTTGGCATTTTACAATTAATCAATTGTAAGTTGTCATTTAAGCATCTAGTAATATAATTTATGACTAAATAGCTTACAATTAACATTTAATTATGTATGGTTACAGAAATACATTATAAAATATGTAAATTCATTTATTTATTTATTTAGCCTAAAGGAACATCTATGCATCAATCCACCTTGCCAGGTCGAAAGGCATAGACATCATCTAGCCACCTTAACAACACCAAATACATTATAACGCCTATATTACCTATCGAAAACAATTTGGATACTTAGTTTAACTTGCTAAGCTTATTAATATTCTGAAACACTAATTAAACTCTTGTAGGATTTTAAAATAAAAAGTAGACAAATGAGAGCTCTAAATATCATTATGATTCTTCTACTTCTGCAATATCTTGTTCATCATAAGCTCTTCAGTCATAGCATGTAGAGACACTCTTAAAAAGAATGTCTAATGGGTCTTAAACTCTGAACCCAGTGTGCATATCCTCTTTGTCAGTATCATTTTTTCTATTTTCTTCTCATCCTTTTCTATGTCTTCTCCAATTTTCGTCAATTAGTGGTTTAGTGCATTCTTATGTATCTACCTAACTATCGGGGGGTTCCAATGGTTGAAATTCTTTCATAAAAATAAACAAATATTGAAAGAACCCCCAGTTAAAGAAAAGGTATATTGAAATTACCCCTTCAACCCAAAAGCACAAAATCAGCCTTTAAGAAGCAAGAACAAATTTATAGATTAAAACCAAACTAACTGAGAAACCCAATAAACTGAAAAACTAAAAAAAAAAACAAAAAGACGTGAGAAAATAACAAAATAAAGGTTACCTTCAAACCAGCTGATCCACCACCATAAGCCTCATAACAAACAGCTTGCATAACCTTCCCGGCCATAATCACAAGAAGGGAAAGGCAGATTTAGAAACCCAAATCCGAATCAGGGCTGCAACAGTTCTTCAGAGGTCAGAGTAATAAACAAAACACTACAATGGTTGTCCACGAGTGAACCCCAGAAGCACTTTTCTTCTGTTTAGCTGAATAAAGAGAAGAAGCCACGATCTTATATATACTTTACAGGACTTGTTGGGAAGACTTGTTATTTGATCTCTTAGTCTTAATATACTTTTCTTTATTACCAAAAAAACGGTTTTTTTAAAAAAAATAATAAAGTTTCATTAAATTCGTATATGTTGAAATATATTACGAAAACAGTGAGGGGAACAAGAAAATCATTTTCTTTGACCAAATTATCCTTCTAAAAGGGAGGGCAGAAGTTACGTTTCATCTTCCTCCTCCCGACACAGAACTCGGCGGTGGTCTTCCTCCGATCACTCCTCCTACTCCTCTCACTCACTATTTGAATTTTCTCTTCTCTTCTCCTCTCCCTCCGTTTTTCCTTTCTCTCTCTCTCTTCCTTCGCCTTCCCCTATCTCCGCCCGCCGCTATAACTCAAGCCAACAGCAGCGGTTCGGCCCGTCACTATTGTTGCTATAACGAGTTGCAGCGGCAAGTCCGAACATAGCCACCACCAATCTCTCTCCCTCTCTCTCTCTCTATCCCTCTCCCTGCATTATCCGAACCAGTCCCCTCATGGCCCTACTCTATCTCTCGGCCCCCGCTGCAATGCGAATAAGCCGCGACGCTAGAAACCGGCCCCCATTAGTTCTCCTCTCTAACCCTGTGAGTTTTTTATTCCCCACCTTTCCTTCTATCTCTGCAATAGCACAGTCGCCCATTCATCATCAACACCTCCTTGTTCTCCATCTTCCTCATTTCCGCCTGCCGCTGCAACCCAGATTAGCGGCAGCGATTTCCTCTCCCCCGTAACTTGATCACTCCCGTCGCCTCCTATTCTCATTCTCCCTTTTGACCTCGTCAGAACCACCGCTGTCGTTAGAACCAATGCCCGTTCCATAGTCGAGGGATGAATAATCCCAATAGAAACCAGCATGAGAAACGCTAAGGCAATCCGAACTGATGCCCATGCATTCCATGGCCACTCTGGTTCTCTTTAGGCGTCCGAGAGAGCTCAACCGAATATTTTGAGGTTAACTGGTTAACGACGAATATTAAAGGGAAAGATGGATAAACAACTTCAAACGGGGGAAAGACAATAATTGAAAGGAATGATGGAGTGCAGACAAAGGAAGAAGGAATTCGTCTCCTTCCTTCAGAGCACCACTTTCAAATGGTTCAGGCTTTTCAACCTCTCCGTCACCACCAATGGATCGACACGACAACGACTAGGAAACGGTGGATGCCATTTGGATCAATGATCGAGAGAAGCTGCGGATGAACGAAGCCCTGATGTAGCTGCTATTGGAGCTAGAAGACAATGTCCAGAAAAATAGGTGAAAAGAAGGGTCAATTTGGTCAAAAATTTTGTTTCAAAGCGCATCTAATTTTGTAAATTCATTTAATTTTATTTATTTTTTGTAAAAAGCCCAAAAAATAAAAAAGTAACGGTCCACACCACAGCGCTAAGTTATCGGCTTCGTAAACGTGGCATTTGCTCGAACATTCGAAACTTCACCTACGAATTCGCATTAAGAAGATCACGGAGCATGGACAGTCAAAAGAGTGGGTTTTTATATAAAGATATTTGGAGCTGACGGTCCGTTTGATTGCATGCGTGTCGTTTTCAAATGAAAAAATTAAAATTTTCCGATTAAATCTTCTTCCAACGAGGAAAATCARAAAAAGGGGACAGACGGCCAAACTTCTGAACAATTGATGGCACGCGCAGAAAGACCGCCTATTTTCTTGTTTTGACAAGTTTATTTTTTTGCTCCAAGTGTTTTGGATTGAAAAATACAAAATTTTCATAAATGTGTCTTGTGACATTACATTACATTACAAGATAACTGTTAGCTCGATGAGCATGATGTTATTGTGGTGTATTTCTGTGTAATATCCTTAAATTAGATAYATACGAGACTTGTGTTAGTTTAAAATTTTTACAGTCATTGGATAAATCTAGGGAGATTTATCCTGTCAAGGCTAAAACTAATGTGTTGCCAAGTTGGTTGGGGGGGCTTGTCTCATATGCCAGGGTGAGATGTGGCAGACACAGAAGCAGTAGACACACTCGTAGGCGAGCCTAACCACCGCAGCCGGCAGCAGCAGCGAAGGGCAGTAGCACTGAGCAACAGCATTGAAGGGGGGTCCACACGACAGCTCATCAGGGGCCCACTTACCTTGCCACTCTAGCCAACTAACCGCCAGCTTACCTTATCCCTACCCTTACCGTATCCCTTATCCCATCTACTTATCCCCTGTTCTTAGTAGGAGTTGTATTACCAGTAGAAATAGGAAGTTAATTACCATTAGAAGTAGGAGTTTGATTTTCGATAAGAGATGGATTATCCTAACCAAATACAACAAGGAAACCCTCTTATAATCTCATATTTAAAGGAGCTTGGAATTGGAATAAAGGCATTGAATTTTCGATCAAGAAATAGCTTAGGAGAGTTAGGGTGATCTCTTGGACAAATCACCCCCTAGTTCACCACAATACGGTCAGCACGCAAAGGGAAGGGCAAGGGAAGGCTAGGAGTTTTCCCCGTGGACCGACCCGTGACGAGATCCTACGTGCGGGCCCATAACATCTTGGTATCAGAGTCAAACGTCATGGGCGATATGGAGCAGCTATCATCCAAGGTCCACGAACTGGAACATAGGCTAACAGAAACCAGCATGGAGGTTCGTGAAGTCAAGGAAGATGTCCGAGAGCTGCGACGCCTGCTGGAAGCATTCCTCTCCAACAAAGAAAGGAGTTCTAAGGAAATCGCCAACACAAATAATCACCGTCCGGACTGGGCAGAGGCATCCAGCGAACAGCGGATCGCTGCCCCAACAGCCACAGTTATTCCCAAGTATAGCCGTTTGGAGTTTCCCTCATACAGCGGCAGCGGCGACCCACTGGGATGGCTGTACCGCTGCGAGCAATTCTTTCGTAATCAGCGCACGGMGGAGAAGGATAAAGTCAGCCTGGCCGCGTTCCATCTGACAGACGAAGCGCAGCTCTGGTTCTACCGAGTGGAATAGGAAGAACCAGGACTTAGTTGGGATCAGTTCAAGTCATACTGCCTCCTTCGGTTCGGACCCCCATTAACAAGCAACCCCTTGGGAGAATTAATTAACCTCAAGTAGACTGGGACCATAACCGAGTACCAGCGGCAATTTCAGACCCTTCTCGCCAGAGCCTCTTCAGTACGCCCAGACCAACAGGTGGATATGTTCACCGCAAGGCTAGCAGAACCCCGAAGGGTGGACGTGGAGATGCAACACCCTCCCAACCTAGTCACAACCATGAACCTAGCACGCGCCTTCGAACGCAAACTACAACTCAGCCACGGAACCGTCAGTATGGGGCGGCCTCCATCAGCATGGGCATCCCCAGAACCACTCGGAGTGGCTCCATACTCAACAACCAGCCAAGAACGGAAGCCACAGACAAGCACCAATCCCAGATCAGCATCCATGGTAGGAAGCAGCGTCGTTACACCCCCTATTAAGCACTTGTCCAGGGCTGAGATGCCAGAACGCAGGGCGAGGGATTGCAAGAAACTCTACTCAGCAGGGCACAGGTGCAAGAGACTTTTCTGCCTCCTGGTGAAACAAGAGGAAGATGAAGAGGAACCCCCTTCATGGGAACCTGATCCAGGAGGGCAAAGTCATTCCACCTATCCGGGATTCCTTTGATGGTGTTTTCCGACACCCATTCTGAATTCGAGCTTGAGGACAAGCTCATAGTCCAAGAGGGGTGTAATGTTGCAGACACACTCGTAGGCGAGCCTAACCACCGCGGCCGGCAGCAGTAGCGAAGGGCAGTAGCACTGAGCAGCAGCATTGAAGGGGGGCCTACACGACAACTCATCAGGGGCCCACTTACCTTGCCACTCTAGCCAACTAACCGCCAGCTTACCTTATCCCTTATCCCTTACTGTATCCCTTATCCCATCTACTTATCCCCTGTTCTTAGTAGGAGTTGTGTTACCAGTAGAAATAGGAAGTTAATTACCATTAGAAGTAGGAGTTTGAGTTTCGATAAGAGATGGATTATCCTAGCCGAATACAACAAGGAAACCCTCTTGTAATCTCCTATTTAAATGAGCTTGGAATTGGAATAAAGGCATTGAATTTTTTATCAAGAAAGAGCTTAGGAGAGTTAGGGTGATCTCTTGGACAAATCACCCCCTAGTTCGCCATAATAGGGTCAGCACGCAAAGGGAAGGGCAAGGGAAGGCTAGGAGTTTTCCCCGTGGACCGACCCATGATGAGATCTTACACGCGGGCCCATAACATGAGACCTGAGGTGCATGTAGTACTGGTTTTCTTAAAACCCTGAGCCGGACCAAATTCTAGTATTGTCTTAGACCTTGGAAATATATGGGCAAAACTGGAATGTTACACSTGACTCCTATACTCGACTATAATACTGCATTAGGTGTCGGATTGGGCTGTCTTTGAAGTGTCAATCAGTGAGATCTTTAGAGGGGGTCAAAACCTGGGTATGTTGGGACAGTCCGAGAATTCATCTGAGTGGGTGATCATAGTGACAGGATCAACCCCTTTATCGGACAAAGTGAATGATCAGGAAATGCATTTTTCTTTAATGGAAACCTAAACTACCGATAGTGGATTTCAAATGTGTTTGAAATTTGGTTTTGCAAAATATATTTATATAGAGATATACTTATATATTACGATTTCAAATTATTTGCAAAAGGTTTTAATTCCCGGGATCCATGTGAGTAGAGAGTGCAGCACTGTACTTGCAGCCGAGGGAGAGGTCATCTCTTGTCGGATAGTGTTTGATCATTAAGGGCTGAGGGTTATACCTGATGGGCTTATCTTGCATATACCCACAGTCCTTGGGCCTTCATAAGATGGCTAGACCCAATGACCATTTAGTGTAAATGTTGGGCCCATTAAGAGCCCATACTAATGGACTCAAGGGTTCACTGTATTCAATAGTGAATTCGGCCAAGCCTTGTAACAGAGGCTAAGCTGAACCCATGTGGCTGATGTGTAGATCAATGATACGGTCCCACATCATACAAAGAGAGCCAAGCTAACCAACATTAAAAGGAAGTGAGCCTGAAAACTTAACGGGCCTAAAGTCCATTTCGAACTAGGTTAATTGGATTAATTAAATAGGGGCGGATATGGGTTTGGATCAGCAAATAAGGATAAGAGGATAACTCTTATCCACTTAAAGAGCAAATCCAAATAGAAATTTGGATCAGGGAACCCCTAATTTCATTAGGAATAGGATGATCTTGAACTGCAGATTAGATAAGGGATTATCCTTATCACTAAAAGAGTTCAGATCCAAATAAAGATTTGGATCAAGAGACTCCTAATCAGATTAGGAGGTTGTCTCTTTAAGACTATATATAGATAGCAGGGCGGATGTGAAAAAGAAACCAAAACATTACAGAAGACAACAAAGTTAGACTGTTCTTGCCTTCTGCTCTTTTTTCTTCTTACTCTTGCCGCCCTACCCTGTTTGATCTCCAGTTCTCGGTTTGGATCAAGATTCGATCTTGATATTGTTTCTTGCTAGAAAAAATAATTTAGAAGTTGTGCTCATTGTCTCATTCGATTCTTGCTGAAGAATCACTAGTTCTTGGTGAAGAAGTACCTACTGATCCTACCTCATCCTAAGCTGTGTCATCTTCAGTGGAGGGAGGATTTGGTACACTCTTTGGACGTGAACACCTATGTTRAGAGGAGCTTTTTGCATGGATTCCGTATCAGGTATATCCCTCCTTAATCTTGGTTTTAGATTTGGTCTGGTTTGGTTACAAGAACGAACCTTGAAAATGCAATTTTCTAAATTGGGAATAGGATTCCTTGATGGGGGTAAAGAAATTTTTGGAATTTCGCCCAACCTTTCTATAGGGTTCAACCATCCATATGATGGATCTCCCATCCCTTCAATAACATGATATAAGATAGACATTCAAATTGAAGTTTATAATTGAAATGTCATATTTATTAGTTAGAAATAACGATTTGTATTAATGATAAGCCAAATTTACAATGGAAAAAAGTAAGTTTATTGACCAACACAATAACCTAAAGCTCCTTTGGTGAAATTGGTCCAATTTGATTTATGAGATGAATCGACGACTCCAGGTCTAGTTTGGATCAAAGTCATTCCATTTGTGAAATCATTTTTAAAAGCATTAGATAAAACATTTTGTGTCATTTTTAGATGATCCCACATATATTTGTTAACATGGTCTGTTTAGTCCAAAAGTACGGTGGTATAAATTGCATT